TAGGAAGATGTAGCCATTTGAGAGCACAAGCCAGTAAACACAGCAGAGAGGAAGGGGCTGAGGCAGCTCCTGCTGGGAGCTCAGCAGGGGTCTAAAGTTGTTACATTGCTTCACCTCTCAGCTTGACAGACAGGAAAGCAAGTGGGGTGGTGCTTTCTGGCAGCTTTCCAGGACTTGGCCCAGAGACAGCACTGACATGACCCAAGTTACCTAGTACACAATTTTCTTGAAAATCCTCTTTCTTAGAAATCCTGTTAATAGGTCTAGACTCTCATCTGTCATTTTTGACAATCAGACCACAGGGGGGGAGAGCTGGATAAAACTCCCAAGGTTTCTTTGCACAGAAGGACAGTATCATATTCTCTTGAATTGTGATCATTTAAAAACAATAAACAAGCAGAGTATGACTTATCCATTCCCAGACAAAGAGGTTTAGTTTTCATCCCATATGCACTGTTTTTTCTATGACTGGTGCCTTACACTTCCCCAGTATTTAGTTGGAAACTTCATTTATTTTACTTCCCAATTCCATGTAAATCAAAAGTCCTTAAAAACATTTAATTACTCTTTAGAGAGAGACATTTAAAGTGAACACAGAATATTCTCTGCCATGTGAGTTACTTCCTACATTTAATAAAATCCTATCCAGTCCATTCACATTCATCTCGAGTTTAGACAGGTAATGTTCTAAATGCATTAGAAATTAAAAGCTGCAGTGTACAAAGATCTCAGTATTGTTTTGAGTGACTGCATAAAAGTCTGTATAATATCTGATCAGCTGTTAATATTAAAAATACAAGACCATTCCTCCTACTCTCAAGCTGTCCTCAGCAACTTTTTCTTTCTTTTAAACCCAAATGATGGATTTAAAAGGGGTATGTCAGTCATTCTTTCGAGCATATCAGTCATTCTTCTTGATTGCCTAAAGCACTGTTGAAAGACATGAGGAACAGCCACCTTCCAGGAAGTTCACTTTTGGAATGAGTCTGAAGAGTGTCTAATAACTGTAACTATTTGCCAGGCCTTGAGGTCTTGGATGAATAGGTCCCAAACCTTTTAAGCACTCCGGGGGAAAAAAAAAAGACTTTGCAGATTTCTTTCTTCCCCAGGACATCTACTTCTGGCCAGTATTATTAACACCCACAGTGCAAGTCATACTTACCTTTGATGGGCTTGGTTTCATGTCAGTACACACCAGCTCCATTTCCCTCCATATAAGGAAGTAATCAGTGTTTTAAACTCTACATTGTAGAATATGGACAGAAGGTGGTACTCTTGCTGTAAGTCGTTTTATGTAAAGCTCATGTTCCATGCTAGTATCATCACACCTGTCTATTTGGGGAGCCATTAAGCAATTCCTTGTCCTTTCCACAAAATATCGTTTACTTTAACAGGCCAGTTTGGATGATGACATGGGCTAGTTAGTAGCTGGTATCACCATCACAATGTTTTGGGTGCAAGATGGCTTGGAGACATTAGTGTCACTTCATAGCTGGAAAGGTCAGACTGCCACTTTCTTTCATACACAATAAATGTTGTTACATTAGCCATAGCCAACCACATACGCAATAGGGCTGTGTGAGGCTTTGGCCCATGCTTCGGATCTGGAGAAGCTTTGGACACTCCGGTGTCCGAACAGCATGTCTGGATCGAATCGCTGGCTTCATTAGGCTTTCCGAAGTGGTTCAGTGCTTCCAAACTGCTTTGGAAAAGCTTCAGAGCTGCTTCGGAGATCCGACCATAGGGTATAATGGGAAATCGATCAAATATCTATAACTTTGTTGGTTTTTGTCTGATTTGGATGAAACTTGCAGAGGTGGTAGCCTCTGCTGAGATGCTGAAACCTGACAAGTTTCAAGAAGACTGGTGCAGGAGTTTGGGGGGGGAACTGTACCCCAAATTCTTGAAAGCAAAACTCATGTCACGCATATACGTTACACTACAGGGGGATCAAAACTGCAGGGGTGGTAGCCACTGGTGAGGCCACAAAGCATGCCAAGTTTCAAGAAGATTGGTGCAGGGGTTTCAGGGGAACCGTACCTCAAACTGCTAACAGGCAAAACTCATGACAAATGACCCTGGGTGTGTTAAGGCACAGCAGGATGAAAACTGCAGGGATGGTGGCCCCTACTGAGGCCATGAAGCCTGTCAGCTGTCAAGGAGATAGGTGCAGGGGAGTTCTGGGGCCCTGCATCCCTAGCTGCTGACAGGCAAAACTCATGACAAGGGTGCTTGTACAACTAACTGTTTGTCTTGGGGCAGCTGATTGTCTGTATTATTTTCGCTCCTTAGCCTGTCATTTTGTAGGTGTTAATCTATGCTCGTTAACTCGTTACGTAGTAGCGAGGTACTGTGCATCGAGCTGGTCCCTGAGTGAATCATGATTAACTGGTAACTGGTAGCACAGTAGCTGAGCAACCAGGCCTGCAGTAGTGTCCCCCCCCACCTCATGCCCCAAGACAGACACAGTTGCACAAGCACCCATGTCACGAGTTTTGCCTGTTAGCAGCTAGAGGTGCAGGGCCCCAGACGCCCTACACCTACCTCCTCGACAGCTGACAGCAGGGGCTACCATCCCTGCAGCTTTCACCCTGCTGCGCCTTAACACACAGTGTCACCCATGTCACGAGTTTTGCTTGTCCACAGCTTGATGTGAAGTTTCTCCCAACCCTCTGCACTCACCTCCTTGAAAACTGGCAGGCTTCGTGGCCTCAGCAGGGGCCACCACCCCTGCAGTTTTCATCCCCCTGTGGTGTAACACACACACGACATGAGTTTTGCTTTCAAGAATTTGTGGTACAGTTCCTCCTAAACCCATGCACCGATATTTTTGAAACTTGGCAGGCTTCATACTCTTTGCAGAGGCTACCACCTCTACAAGTTTCATCCAAATCAGACAAAAAACAATGAAGTTATAGATATTTGATTGATTCCCCATTATACCCTATGGCCGGATCTCCAAGGCGGCTCCGAAGCTTCGGAGCCACTTCAGCTGGATCAAAGTGGGAACCCGGTCTGGAGCTCCGGATTGGATCACTGGCATCTGAGGCAGCTGGATACGAAGCCAGATCGGATCGCTGCTGACTCGCACAGGCCTGATATGCACAGCCTGGAATTCCACTGCATCACAACTGTGTGCTTCATCTGGTAGTAGGGAAGACAACTATGCCCTTAAACAATCCTTAACTACATATCTTACAGATACAGAAAACGTGCTGTCTGAACTCTTAATGGCAGATAGGAATTGTTGCACAGTGCTAAATAGGATACTAGCAGAAAGCATATTATGATGCAGTTTGATGGTCAGAACCAAGAAGGGAGTTAATTCACTCATGACCACTGCCATCAATGTATGTAGAAGTGCCTTAAAAAACTTGGCTGAACACCTTCTACTTCCTCCTAGTGGAGCAGGTTACATTACAAGAGGTCATTAATAGATTATGAAGCTCTCTGGGCAAAATTGTGTTTTCCCACCTACTGTATTCTAATCACTGACTCTACTTTATATTCTACTGTATGCTGTCCTTCAACAGCATTTGATGAAGTGAACTTGGGTTTATGAAAGTCTGTGATCTCTTGCTCATTCTCTCTACATATGTTAATCTTAGTCCAGAAGTACTCAACTCCTGGCCTCTGGGGCCCCCCACAAGTCAGGGAATTTGGCAGCAGGGGAGCAGTGATAATTAATACTGCCACCCCTCTCCCACTGCGAAAATCCCAAGCCCTGGGAAGCCAAGTCAGGAATGGCCATGCTCCCTCTCCTCCCTGCATGGCCAGATTAGGCCCCACCAACTCTGCATGCTGAACTGGGCCCACCAGCCAGATTTGACCTGCAGATGGACTGGGCATCAATGATTTGGCCCATAGGACAAAAAGGTTGGGCACCACTGAATCTATAAAAGGGTGTAGTTACCCTGCCTTCAGACCAAATTATCTTGTCATTTCAGAATTTGGCCATTTTTACTAAAACAAAAAACTGACACAAGCAAAAAAAGCTAGCCACATGACTGTAAGAAAATATATTTATTAAATTCCATGGCAATACTATGGCAAAATTGTTAAATACATGCATTTTTTAAAACAGACATAAGCAGTACATCAAGAGTTACAACAGCCAAGCAAACTAGCTTTAAAAACCTATGCAAAGAGTTGCTTAGTATTAGGTTACTTAAAAACATAGTATGCTACATTGTCATGTTTCCCAACACGATTCCACATTTCACTTTTAAGCATGCATTTGTTAAATTGCTTATTATTCACTAAATCTGTTTGATGATATGCTTTCATGAATCAGCATTTTGTTTACTAGGTATGTTGCAACTTGAATAAAGTGCCTTGTGATGATTTTGTTTGAATCATGAAGGAAACGTTTTGCATTTGTAACAGATTCGGAAGCTGGCATAAAATATAATTACACAGCAAATGACAGTAGTGTTAAATGGCTGATTAGACATAGTATAAATGTTACAGCATTAAGTTGGCTATCTTTTTCTTAGTTGTCTTTTTTACTAATGCTCAGAACTAATATCTATACGACAATTTGAAATGAGTGAATATTTTCATTAGCATTATAAACACATTTCAATGAAATGCACAAAAATACAAACATAAAAACACTTTTAAACAAAATATTCAGGTTGTAAAAAAATAAGGTATAAAAGAAAGAGACCTAAAAAACCTGTTCACAGTATGCTTTTTAGACAACATTTTAGTATAAGGTAATGTATTCTTTCATCTTTTAGAGTATTGTATCAGTCCCTCCAATTTGTGCACAACAAGATGAAGTTAAGAATTACAATTACCCTGCATTCCAGTGGGGTTTCAGGCAAGAAGCAACTAAAAAGCCCATACAAGCATTTCTGAAGCTTTTCTGAAGTGTAAAACTGTACATCCTAGTTCACTTTTTACTGTCATATAAGGAGACACTTCAAGATGCTTATATTTTTTTAGCATTTTTCTCACCACGAACAATAAAAATTACAAAGTTTCTCTTCTATTTATGTCTGTTTTGCATGCTGGTTTGAACAACTTATCAAAATGCAGAAACATTTGAGCTGCAAAACATTAAAGAATTGTTCCAATAAGATTTTTTTTTGAAATCATGCAAATATTTCTTTTGGTATTCCCTTTTTGCTGAAAATGTAAATAGACATTTTTGTGGGGAAAATATTGGGACAATCTCTAAGGCTGCATGAGGAAGCCCCTGCGAATATAAAACTGCTTGTTTGTAGAACAGGCAAACGCCACCAATATTTGGACACATGGATAACAGGAAAAAAATGCTACGGGAGATACTATTTTCCAAATTGTAGGTAGACCTTTAAAAACTACCGCTGTCTGAAGCTTCAGAATAGGAAAAATTTGAATCTATACCCAGACTTGGATTTCAAAATCTCCAAAGTCAAAGTGCACTTGGATTGGGTTTTCATACAAGCCACTTTCAAAGGATAAAGATTCAAAAAAGAAAATGAAAGAGTTCTAAGAACAAGTGCCAACAGCCTCCTTTTGAATATCCATTGCCCAGGCTAATATTTTACATGCTACAAGAGCCATAGCCTAATCATACAAGGACGAGTGTAAAAGGTGTGCAGAGTGCTAGAGAATGTTCTGCCTCAAATATAAGGCCATATACCCAAGAAACATGGGAATTTCAAGAGGACTTTTTAACACAGCATGAAATTAAAATGAAGTAGGACACAAGTATGCATTTGTATATGTAATTTATGATTTTTGGGGGGAAAAAACCTTAGACATATAAAAACTGCTGGAACTAACATTTTAATAAAAATCATTTACTTTGGAACAGAGAGTACTATTTACATGGAAAGCTATGGGTAGTTATGGTAAATAGAACAGTTATCCATTTGATTCTTCCAGTCAGAGCAATACTCAAATATTCAAATTTTAAATGCTTTTGAATTATATTCCCTTCTATAAGAGTATTTTATTTAATATTTTATTTACAACAAAAAAGCAATAAGGCAGACTAAAAATATAGCAGTGATGGTCTTGTTTTACTTTTCTCTGTACAACAATCTTTGACTATCCTGCTCCCTTCCACACACAAGACTTTATTTGCTTGCATAATTATTTTCCTCTTGAAGCAATTTTGCCTTCAGCTGAACTTGGCTCAGCAGGACAGCCTTGCGGGGGCCCCACAGTCTAAACCTGTGTAACTAAAAAGCCCAAAGTTCACTACAGCGAGAGAACTTTGTTTAGCAAGGCTTCTTCCACGCACCTCTTCAGGGCAACCCTAATTTCTACTTCATCTCCCATTTCCCAGTAAAACTAAAATGCTAATCCCACACAATATAAAATAGATATCTAAATGTGCGTTGCTTCTGTCAATTACTCTAATCTACGGAACAACACTGCAAATAGTTCTTACAAGGTATAGGTCCATTACTTTGGCTAATTACTACAGCAAGGCCTACTCAGGTTAATTACATGATAGTAACTGTTCACAGAATTAGGTCCTAAATCTGTTTATGTAGCAAGCATATGGCAGAGAATATAATTCACTGGCTATCTGTAACATTAGCTTACTACATCTGATAATAGCTAGTTTTGTGAGGTATATCATGTACAGGCTTTTTGAATCTACAACCGCAACATGTAAAAGTGCCATTTCAAACAGGTGTCCAATTCCCCATGTGTGTCTCAGTACAACAAAAATAGCATGCTGAACAGAGAATATGCAAGAGCGAATCAACCGGCACTGATGCTCAGTAATCGAGTGAATGATACACAACTTCTTTTTATAAAACAAAAATCAAACAAACCAGGCATGGCTCAAAAGAAGAAATCAGCAGCAACATTATAAATTATATGCTCCGAAATTGAACTGCCTGACATTAAAAAAAAAAAAAGGGAAAAAAAAGAAAAACATACCAAAGCAATTACCTTCTTAGATTTCTGAACAGATTTAACCTTGAAAACAGATAGGGACTTAAAAAAGGAGTGACATGTTTTGAATTGATCCTTTCTGCTTATTTCCCCATTATATCTTATTTCCCTTATATATATTATTCCTCCACTCCATATTCAACAGACCAGAGATCTAAAAAAGTAGTAGTTTTGGTAATGGAGACTTTTTTTCCTGAAACAAAGAGAAACAATCCTTTAGTGTCTAGCTTACCAAAGAAGGCTCATGAGGATACCAGAAGGCACCAATTAAGGAACTAATCTCATTTGAAGGACAAGGCTTTTTGCCATACAACTCCAATCAATGCTTGTGGAAGTTAAAAAGCACCATACACCGGGAGTGAATTTGGTATGGAAGACTACTTGGTCCATTTTTTCTTTAAGGCGCTTCAGTGATTACCGGACATACAGGCAGATAATGAAAGCACTTCAGTCACCCAACAGTACTAGCCATTTGATTCTATTTTGCTATGCCACACAAGGCCTGCTTAATATCTTCACTAAGTCAGCATACTTCCTCGGGGTGTTACAATTCTGGTGTCTGTGCAAATTGCAAATAATATTTTTAAATAAAGCATTTGAAGCAGCTTTCAGAAAGCACCCCGGACCAGTGAATGAGCAGATAAGCTCAATGTGAAGCACTGGTTGCAAGGACTAAATTGTTATGACAAAAACTGCTTACTGGCTTGTAACAATTACAGTAGAAGGCATAGTACATTTGCAATTTATAAACTAAGTCAGAGTTGGTCTATAAGATGCAAATCTACCCTAATGTATATCTGAATTCAGACTAACACAGCTAACTACCTCTCTTTGCAACAATTAAGACACTACAGATGGTGCATGCATATATACACTCCTGTCTTTTATCTACTGTATTGACCCCAGATACAATGACATCATGTGAAGGGGTTTAGATAAGCCCTTGTTCACCAAGATTACAATTTCTCCGCCACAGACCTCCAAGATCAGGAAGTACCCCAGAACACTGGTGCAAAGAATTAACTTGGATGAAATAAAATGGTCATATTTTAAAGAGGCAATTGAGTAGCACCGTTAGTGAAAGAGTACATACTCCCACATACTATTTGGGTATACATGTAACATAGAATACCCTATATATTTAGAAAATAAAGCACACTGCCATCACTCAGACATTAGGTGATTTGAAATATCACTGGCTTTACTAACAACAAATGGCACGCGCATGGAATAACAGGTACTGAAAGCAGGTACAGTACATGGAATCTGTCATGGTTTTAATTTTTTGAGAGAGAGATTGTGAAAGTTACAGGGCTGATCTATACTAATCTACATACAAGCACACACTAGCTGAGGCATCAGACTGGTTTTGTTTTTAACATTTAATACAAGTAATGTTACTGCCCAGATAAAAATACTTTCTGGCTTGAATGTGCGTCTTGGGAAACATACCAATGACCAACCAGAGATTTTGGCTCTTTTTCAAGACTAGCTGCTCCATTATGAGACCTACTCTAGTTTTGGTCATCATATCACTGTAACTGCTATAGCATGTTTCTCACAAGAACCATCAAGAGATGACATTGTAGTTGCTTACTTGAAAAGAATAATGTGTATGATGAAGTAAACGAAACAAACTCTCTCTTCTTAGTACATCACCTGTTTATCTTTCTTTTATGCCTCCTGCTTCTAGGAGTATACTGGGTCATGATGAAGTCCATTGGTCTTAGAAACTAAATATTTCTATGTTGGTTCTACAATAGTAAACATTAGCACTACTCTAGAATGAGGTATTATGAACTTTGGAATGGATAGTAAAGCCTTTAGTATTTGGATTTAGCAAATCCCAATCATCAGCCATGTCTTGTTCCATAAAGGCAGAACCATTATATAGATTTTAAAGTTTAGAATAAGTTGTCAACTACAGACGGTGGATGAAACTGGTCTCTTACAACGATGTCTGACATCCAGATCTGATGCCTCTAAGACTCCTAATAATTTCAAATGTATTCCCTTTCATTGGAAGAACCATTAATACTGAAATTCATTCAGAAAAAGGAATCTTATCTGGGCTTTCCAGGAGTTGCAGATGATGAAGCTGCCTATCTTGGTATCTTTTACTTCGTTGCTTGCCTGTTTGTCAATTTGAAAATCCATCTACCCTTTCAGCCAGTTCTGTCTAAAGGACTGCAGAGGTAGTTTGAGACCTACTGTGCGTTACTATCATCAAGTTTAAGGTAGTTTCTTGCAAGACGGTGGTGGCCAGATAATGCTGTTTGCAGTCTACACAACTTCCACCTTGTTAACAGTCTCTCTCTCATCTGCTTTCACTTAGAGCCGTGAGCTTGTTTTCAAATTCAGCCGCACAGTCTGAATGCTTAATACATAAGGCTCCCACTGCAATTTAGACATTTGAGGTACTACAAATCAGCTGTTTAAAACTGAGATCTTGAAAGGGTTGGGAACTTTAGAAGACTCTGTTTTGCTGTAATGTTATGTCATGTAACAGCTTACCATTACTATTTATTTTACAAAACAAAGTCAGCAAAGTAGTCACTATTCATGCAGCACCACCATCTAATTTTTGTGCAGTGAAATGCTACACCTGCTTTTTAAGATACATAAATGAAAACAGAAATTAAAAATCATCTTTCTTGAGAATGTTTCTCTAAACACACAAACTAAACTCACCATTATAACTGTTGTATTAGGTGACCAGTGCTAGAGAGGTAAAATTAGTGCATCAGCTTCTCTGGGCTCCCCACTGCCTATGGAGAAATCCCACCTTCTTTTTCCACATGAAATCTGTGGAGAATGCATGCTGGGACAGACTGTTTCTGGAGAGTAGCCACAGAAATTCTTCACGGATAGCGGGGGCCTATTACAGCTGAAGACAAGCCAAGGAACAATTCTCTCGTGGTGCTAATACTACTCATGGGTGGAGCAAACCTGCTCTAGCAGCTAGTTCTACCAAATGTAATCTATGAAATAACATTGATGGGTAGGTTAGTGCAATCAAGGACTGTTAAACGGAGACTAATCTTTTGGATATGATGCTTACAAGCCTTCAGCTCCAGATGCTATGCTATTGGTCTAAAATGGCATTTCAGGGGAGAGGAAAGGGAGAAGATACTTAACCTCTTTGAGGCATCAGATCTGGAGCTACAGCTATACAAAATACATTAGTGCAATATGTTAAGAAACACTAACTCCTTAACTGAAGTGTCAGGGAAAAAATAGTGTTTTAAGGTTTAAAAAATAATGCTAAATTTTAAACATCATGCAGTTCTGGTTGAGGTTTAAATCAGTGTTACACGTTTTCCAAGTTTGTACTCCTGAGTCAAATACTGAATGAACCTTGCACAGTAGGTACAGTAATTAGTGTCCTGGTTACTGGACAACAGATAAGAATAGTCATTGCTTAAAATGTTAAGACAGTAGTGATGCTGTTTTTGTATGTGGGATTGTAAAAGTTAGATAAACAAAGCATAGGTGGAAGTGCTAATAGTTGAATAAACAATTTAAGCATATACACCCTAATGATTAGGCTGAGGACACTACTGTCACTGCCCTCAATCTGCAAATGAGTTTGAATTTTGTTATTTGAATATGCATAATAGAAACCAGCTACAAAAACAGAGCACCTTCCAAGGTAACAAGCTGCATGAGGCCATATTAACCATTGAAACACTACTTTGAAGTAGAGCTCTTTAGCTAAGATAACCAGGAGATACCACTGAAACTTCCTTAATATTTTACTAGCATAATAATCAAGTTGCTAGAACTTTGGCTTTTAGCCTATATTAAAATGCAACATTAACACTTTCACTGTAACATTCAGCACACTAAAAACCTCTGCAGACTATCTCCAAGAACTCATGCTGTTTTTACATTTGGAATAAGAGCTTATTGAGATGGCAGGTCCAGCTGAAATGATCGCAACCACTGTTAATCACTTGCTTTGTTCTGAAAAAAATTTGTGAAGGACCACCCAATGTTGTTTGGCTTGGAAGAGTCTTCATCATCCCTTGGGGGGATCAAAAATTGTCGAGAATTAATGGAACATGGGCTTCCAAAAGATGTATTTTCATTGTTGCTCTCGATTGATCTAGGAGAGTCTGGAGTGCCTACATTCCAGGCATTTGTGTTTGCCTGAGGTCTGTAGCCTGCAGTTTTATCAGCATCCTCTTCTGTGGGCAAGTGATTCTCTGTTTTTATAGTATTAATAGACAAGTGCATTTGTGGCTTATAGCCTTCTGTAGTCACAAAGTCTATTTCTGGCTCTTCCTCTGGTTTAACTTGAGGCTGATACATTGATTGAACATCAATATAAATGACCTGAGAAGACCCCACAGGTTCATCTACTGAGGGGTTGGAGATCTCCTCCTCAATGATAGGTGGGCAGTATGACACCACCACAAGGTTTTCAGTTTCTGTGTCAGAGACATCCTCAGGGGGCTCACTGTCCGCGACAGGGGATTTAATTTCTGTGTCCTCCATCTTAGGGACTGCAGATCGTGCTTCTAGCACTTCAACGCTATTGGGGGTACAAGGGTTCATTTCCAATGTTTTAAGGGCAGTGTTCCCCTAAAATGAGAAAAAACAAGAAACACCTAGACCAGAGACTAAGCCAAAAGAACTGGACCTCAGGAAAACAATTTTGTTGTGGTTCATGCAATCAGCATGTTGTTCTGCACTACTGCAATTATATACTTAAAAAAACCCACAAAGAAAACCAAAAAACACAATACAATTCTCTCCTTCCCTAAAGTCTGGTATTTGCATATATAATCGCTGCTAATATGAACAGCTATTTTAGCAAGTTAAACATTCCTGAATTTTTGCCACAAATATTTCCAACTTCAAAATTACTTTCCTTAGTTATCTTTGTTATTTCACTAGCCTGAAGCAATGACTTGGCTTTAAGTTTGCTTCCAATTACAAAGCAGCAAGGTGAGAAGGGCAAGGAGGAGATAGGAAGCATGTTCTACCTACACTTCTCAGTTCTGCCAGTGGGAAGAGAAGGAAAACAAGCAGTTAGAAATGAGCTGGATCACATCACTTCTGAGACTTGCCATTATATTGCTGGGCTGGGACAAACCTTCAATTTTTTCTTCCTAACAGCTGCCACTGGCAAAGTTTTAATAACAAACTAGACCGCAGACCCAGCCATAGTCTAACAAAACAAATGCTTGGTTGCTTGTAATGGCTTTCTCATCTCATCCTATTAAAAAGTGAATTTAAGCTGAAGAATACACCTCAACATTTGCAGACTGCATTACCCGATGTATTTTTACATTTTAGAACCTTAAAAAAAAAGCATTGAAGTTACCTCACATATGTTCTTCTGGAACTGCAGTGCCTTGCTGTTCTCAGGGTTTGGAATATCAGGGTAGAACGTTTCTTTAATCCTTTAGGAGATAAAAGAGTAATTTGGCAAACTGAAAAAATGGCTCTGCCAGTTTCTACATTCACAGTTCTCAGGAGATTCAGCATGACAGTTAGTTAAACCTTTTGTTTTCAAAATTGTTGTGTTGACTGACTATAGGAAAAGTTTCAATGCTTTCATCTTACACTGTCACATTCGTGGAAACACGAAAGTGAATGGCAAATCAGATCGATCTTGTGGACAGGTTGCAAATTAAGTGCATGTTTAATTTAGTGCTTCACTGTTTAAAAAAACAACCCTGTATTAGTTAAGAGCCGTGCAGATGTATACCGGTTGAGTGTCAGCCTGAAGCACTGCTGCTCTGCGGCCAGGGGGCTGGACACAGAACCTCGCCCAGCATGTCCCACAGTGGACAAGTCTCTGGATGTTCCCAAAGATTCCCAAATATGGAGGAACGTGATGACTGGCTGGCCCCCAAGATGACCCCAAACTCACCCCCAACACCATCACCCCTCAGCACCCTTGTGCTGGAGTGTCTGCTCAGTTTGACTCCAAGACCAGGGAACACAGGATGGGGCCTTATCAGGTCACTGCTGTGCATGCCCCACGTCTGCACAGCTGGAACAATTCATGTCCCAGCAGTGCCGCTTCAGGCAGAGACTGCAGGTCGTACCGCTTTCTCAGCAAGATCCTTGCCTAGATCACAGCTCTCTGGAAGTGCAGGCTGACCTGCCTTGTTATGTCCTCAATTATATCTACAGCCTTTTTTTGCTTCAGTGTTGCTGCTCAAACTGACATGGCAGATGAGGACGATGCCATATGACATGCCATGGACTCTGGACCCATGTGGAACCAGCTCCAAACTGTGCTTCTGCTCAAGGCAAATGAGCAGCGACTGATGAGACCACACTGCCCTAGCTAACTGGAAAAGGAAACTTCCACAGGTTTTGTGCCACCTGCATGGAAATCTGCACTAAACAAAAACCTGCCCTTGTACAGCACAGCACCAGGTCACCTCCTACCATGGAGAAGCAGGTGGTCATTGGCATAAGGTAGCTTGCAGCCCCTGACATTTTCTGGTCCGTAGACAAATCTACAGTGGGATCAGCAGGGTGGGAGGCATGTCTTGTGATAAACCACAGTCCTAGCATCTGCTTAATCTGCCTCGTCATTGTTCAGGAGATAGTGGCCAGATTCAGCCATACGCGACTTGCAACTGCACCAGGGCCAATGACAACACCCACAACACCATTCTGTATCCTACACACCAAAACATGGACTCCAAGAGTTTCTTTGCTATGATGCATCATAGACCAACAGGATCAGTTCTCACGTATGAATGCTGACTGGGTGGGCAAGGTTCATGGCACCAAGGTATTCCACAGCTCCCGCCTCTCTGGCCTGACGGGGTAGGGGGAGTGAGGGAAAGTCTGTCCCCATGTTCCCAGCATCAAACTGCTAGTAGTGACTGTTTACACCACAGCTAATCAGGGATCTGGCACACCCACTCCACCTCTGGTTCATGAAGCTTTATGTAGGTTCCTGGGATGCCCACAAGGAACTGCTTACCTACCCCACCAGCAGCTGCTGCTTGACTGGAGCGTGCCTTTGGGCACCTGAAGATACACTGGAGATCACTGGGGGCTTGCCTGGATATCACCAAGTGCTATGTGCCCTGCTTTGCCATCTCTGCCTGAAGCCTTCATAACATTTGCAAGACCAAGGGGGGAGTTTTCCAAGATGCCTGGGCTCCCATGGCTTCCAAGTGCCCAGGGTCACGCTTGTGCATGAAGACCTAGCAGACAACTTCCAATCCCAGAGACTAAAGGCAGGTATGGGATGACTTGGGGGCGGGGGGCGGGGAGGAGAGAGGTGGTTTGGGATTGGGGATACATTCCCTTTTCTGTTTTTTATTTAAGCATCAATCTAATAAACTTACATTGTGCCTGAACCCTTGAAGTGTGCTTGACTGAGTTGGAGTGGTGGGGGTGAATACTTGAACACCTACATGTTCAGGACTGGGGGAAAAGCAAGGGGCTGTGCTCAAGTGAGGAGTAAGTACAGCTGGTTTCTTTGAAAATAAAGTATTTTATTAATCAACCAGTGGAAAGAGGTTCTTTAAAAAAAGTGTTAAATGAACCAAATCAAAAGCTTCCTTTAAACAAGCAAGACCTTTCCCTATGGAATAACACCTCCGGTAAATTTAGTCATCCGAGGGGGCTCATGGAGGTAAGCATGTTCCCCAATCACTCCCCCCCCAGGGTAGTGGGGTATGCCTCAGTGTGGAAGGGCTGGGGATGGTCTTACGATCATGAGAGGGGTCAAATGACTGGAGTCACTGTAGGCTGAGGCATCGCTGCTCATACATGCTCCCACTGCCTCAGAAAAAAACGGTGGTTGCAGCATGTCCAAGGTATCTGAGTCCTTCAGGAATGATAGAGCGAGCGCTGGAGTGCTGCTAGGTGTAAGGGCTGGTTGCCTGTGCCCAGAAAGGGTGCATAGGGCCTTGAAGTTAATGGGAATCAGAGGGGGTTCACAGGACTGCTCTTGCCACTGACTGTGGATGGGTGCTGCCTGCGTCCGCTATGCAACCCCAAGAGGATCCATGGACAGCCCCTTGTGGCATGTGGTTATGACCTGGAAACCTGCCGTCTCTTGCTGTCCTGAGATGCAAATTAAGGATCTTCATTTTGGCCCTGTACTGCTGGTGGTACCCCCAAGCTGCCATCTCCATGACTTGTACATACACTTGTACATGGCTTGATTGCACTGGCTTGACTGGAGTACCTGTTGGTTTTCTCAATCACAGCCTAAAATTGCAAGCTGGCTGAACAACTCTTTCCAGCTCCAGTCACTGCTGCACCTGAAGGATGCACTGAATGATGCTGGATCAAACACTAGTATCTAAACAGGTCAAAAGGGGAGTCCAAATGGGTGTCCTGTATGCTTCCACATGTGGAATGGTTTAACTGTTATGTGTGTCCACAACCTTACTGTTGCAACTTGGCCAAAATACAACTTCTTTGTCTCTGTTCCTTCCTACCCCTCCATGCAAAAAATGGAGATGCCGCCTTACAAAACAGCCTGCTGGAATAATCATATGCTTTGAGAGGGCAAAGAATTACTATACGCACAAACAAACCAGAGCAGGACAATGGAACCAAATAAGAGTACTTACCATTCTCTTTTTCGGTAGCAAAGGATGCTGGTCACCACCCCAAACACAAGAGCCACTGCCACTGGGATGAGAATGGCAATGATCAGCCCCACAGCTGGAGAAACAAATTGTAAAGGTATTCCAAGTTACAAAAAAAAAAGTCATTAGCCAAATTTTGCTAGAAGTTTCACCATGAATGGCATGCCCCCATTTTAGTTTTTATTCCATACAGCTGAATGCTGAGTGTTTTTTATACAACTTAACTTGGCCATCTTTTTTTTTGGAACTATTCAGCTTGCTTGGCCTGAAATGCACTGCCTTTTTTTTTTAAGTTCATAATGTCTTTTACCTCTCTGAGCATCTCAGTACTATTTATTGACCTTGCTCCCTTAATACAAGTGCCTCTTACCTACTGTGCACAGCGTGTGGTTTCATGCACTTCCATGCACATCCCTTCCTGTTTGTCAGTAAACATAATTTACCTATTTGCTACCCTCCAGAAACTCTGTGGCTTCTTGTAATTTTCACTGCTTTCTTTTTTTGTGCATTACTGCTCCATCTTTTTTAGATGCATTGAACAAAACTTGAACACATTTAAAATTCACTACTGACTTTTATGGCTTTAGGGTAGGGAAAACTGGAGCAACTATTTCCTTAATAGCTCAATTCCCCTCTAACCACTTGAGGCCTTTTTAACATTCAGCAAATGTTTTTTACTGAGCTGCCCATTGCAACTATCAGGTATCTTGAGCAGTCATGACTTCAGACCCCAATGACTAGTTTCAGTTGCTTTTCTTCTGTGCATTAGTATGAGCTTCATGTTTGCTGTAATCAGGCTGATTTTTTTTTTCTGACCTGCAATAGTTTTGGTGCTGTTTAAAAATGTGGGTTGCAGGCAGAGTCTGCTAAGAAGGTGAAGAGATCAAATGAGTCGAAGTCATAAAGCATTAATAAGCAAGAATTTTCAACTTACAGTCTTCTTTTGTCACCACATACAGGCCATTGGATGGGCCTATTCCACCAGCAGTGTAGGCTCGTAAGTCCAACTGATAACTTGTTTTGCCTTGAAGGTCAAGTATTCGCAGCGACTTTTGTGTTAGGTCAGTAATATTCTTTACTTTTAGCTCAGGATGCCCTGTTTTTTTTTGCCAGTGAAGAAGGTATAGAGTGTCAGAACACATTCACAAAAAGTCTCAGCACAAAAAGGGGTTCTTAAAAATTTCAAATTAAGGTGGAAAATGGTCTTTTTAATAGGGAATAGATAAAAGTTATCCTGCAATAAACTCACTGTGACTCAAATCTAACAGGGTGTTAAACAGAACAAGGAGTGCATCCTCCCTGCAGAAGTCTAGTTCTCTATACTGAAGCTACTCCTCGTAAGTGAAATCATCAGGAGTGAGAAAAGATGCATTGTGATGTAACACTGGATCTGCTACATACTCTCTCTAGAATTGCTTGCGTCTGTTTGTGGCCTGATGTTTGGGGAAAGCATCCTGTGGTTTTTAGCAACGGTTGTTTTCTAGCGAATTCTGGGAGAATTTGCCTGTGTTTCTGCAGGAAGACAGAAGACTTAATGCTGTGGATGCTGGATAAGTCCTCTCAGTTCAGAGTAGTTACGTTAAGAAGTTTATGACCTGTACTAACTCTGGATTTAACCTGCAATGCCTGAATGGCCTAGCCAACTCTAGTTGAAAGCCTCATCAAATTGAAAGAGTTTATGCGTGCAGCCAGGGCTGTCCCTCAGGGGGGTGGGGGGGTGAATCGGGGTGTCCGCCCTGGGCCCCGCACTTTGGGGGGGTCCTGTGAAAGCAGGCGGATCAGTGCGGCGATGCCATGCTGCCCCGGCTTCATGTCTGGCTGCTCAGTACCTCCTGCCACCGAATCCACCGCTGAAATTGGCGTGTCCGGCTGCTCATTGCCACCCCCCCCACTGAATCTGCCTCCATCTTCCTTGTATCCAGGGACAGGGCCCCCCACAGGCTGAGTTGCCCTGGGCCTTGCACCCTGCTCAGATCGTCTCTGCATGTAGCCAAGATACAAGAGTATCATTTCAGTTGCACTTTAGTTTCCAATGAAGATAAGCTCAAAGACTGAAGAAAGGAGACAGACAACTGATGCCCAAAATGAAAGTGTCTGCTCAGTGACTAAAAATAAGGTGCTGCTTTGAACTACACTACACTTTTTACTACAGACATCACATAACCTTAACTAGCTACATGTTAAGATTATTTCTTCTCCTGTTGCCATGCCACCATGATTATTCTCAAAATGAACCAAACATTTTATAGAGACATCACTGCCCAGGACAGAAACATGGAGAGAGAGAACACAAGGTATCCAACATGCACTGCACAAAAACAGCTAATTACTAAAGAAGATTCACTGATGAACAGGGATCCAGGTTTTCTATTTCCCATGGAAAAAATGGAGTAAAATGCAGATTTTCCCCCTGGATTTCTCATTTTAGCAGAGAAACCTGTGGATTTTGCAATTTTGCAGCGAGCTCTCTGCACGCTGGCAGAGTTCCAGCCTGTAGTGGCTGGGAGGGAGTGGGAGGAGGGTGGTGAGGCAGGGGGTGCCATGGGCACGTATATACAAATGGCTGCTGGGCAGCTTGGAGAGCAGCTCCTGCAGGTAAGTGTGTGTGTGTGTGTGTGGAGGGGGGTGGGGGTGGAAATTGAGGTCCTTATAGGCAGGGAGGGACTTGAGCAAGGTTGGGGCTGTTGCCCAGCTGGGCAGCGTGTGGGGCTGCAATGAACAGCCAAAGGGCTCCAGTGGGGAGCGGAACGGGGCCCTGGGTGGCTCTCCGCTGCTGTGCACACTCTGGAGAGGGCGGTGGGGGGCACATGCCCCCCAGATCTGTGTGCAGGCTGGGGGCAGGGCAGGCTGCCTACTGCAGGCTTGGACTTCCGCCCTGCTGACATCCCCTGGTGCCTCCACAGCCTAGCAGGTGCAACCCAGCACTGCATGGCAAAGCGTGGCTGTACAAGAAAGCTGCTGTGAGCTCCGCACTGCCCTGGTGATGCGTCCCTTGCATTCACAGGGGCAGCACGAGTGGGGGTGCAGGGTTGTGCTCCTCACTGCTGCCATGCATATGGGAGACATGTTGCCAGGGCAGCATGGAGCTTACAGCAGCATGCAGCTTTTCTGGGTGGCTGTGCTCTACCCTGCAGCACCAGGTCCCACCCATGGGCTGCAGAGGCCCTGGGGGAGGGCAGCACAGTGGGAGCCCAAGCCCACAGTGAACACCTGCTCTGCCCCTGCCCAGTGCACAGATCCGGGGAGTGTAGGTCCCCCCCAACCCCTGGGAGTGTGAGCAGCTGCAAGGAGCCAGCCCCACCTGCCTGAGCACACAGCAGGTGGGGAGCCAGCTCTGTGCTATGCTCCGCTGCAGCAGCTGCTGACTTCTGTTGGGGACAGGGGTTTGTGGACCCGGCTCCCTGACCCCACAGCCTTGGCAGCTGGGGGTTCCTCCAGCCCCTACAGAATCGGTGGCTTCTGATTCGACTCAGACCTTTTAACGGGTCTTCTGATTCGATTCAGATTCAGAGATTCAGCCACTAAACAGGGCTGAATCTCCTCCAAATCAAATCAGCTACCAAAGCTTTGCACACCCCTAATAGTAGTGGCACATAGATGTGCCACTTGTTCCTGGGGAATGCCTGTGCATACACACTCTGGTATTCAGCAAGTTGCCCTGGGTGGGGTAGGGGAGGCTGAGGCCAGCAACTGGATTGGCCCCAGCAGCCTTACCTGAGGTCCTGGGGTCCTCCTGGGGCACCAGCAGCAGTGATCTGTGTGCATGGAGCCTGACTGGCAGCCAGTGTGGATCTGGCTGGCCAGGCTCCAGTTTTGGGTGGCACATGCTGCCTCACTTTTTTATGCTGTGGGTTTTTTTTTTACGCTGGACCACATTGCAAATTCACAGCATAGTGAATGTGTGCATGTGTGGTTTGCAGCAGCGCAGATGGGTCTGCAGCACTTCAAACTGCACATGCACACTTGTCTGGACACTTCCTAGCCAAAATAGATTTGTAGCACTGATGAAAAACACCTTATTATATTATTCACTTAAGATATTTAGTAGCTTAATTTACCTTTGTCAATCTTGTTGACACGATGGCTAGTATTTTAAGAGTCTTTGGCAGTTTTTAAAGGCCAATTCTGCTACCGAATACTACTAATTGTATTGTAACTAAACTTTTTCCCTGAAAGTGCTGTTCATTACAAAGTATTCAGAGTTCACAAGAAAGTTGAGGACTCGGTTGTATTTACCTGGATCCAATAACTTTGGTTTTAAAGGATCTTTTTCCCCCTTTGCAAAGAAAAGCAAATATCCTTTTAAAAATCCCTGGCAGTCTTCAACAGGAATGTTTTCCCATTTTACCAATATGGAATCTGAAGAGGTTTCTTCTACAGTAAAATTAGGTGCAACTTTTGGAGCTGTAGGGTGAATTGTGAAAAGATAAAAGTTAACAAACATTTATCCTAAATTCATGTCAGACCCCCATGTTGTTTAGGGGGCTAACATAATAATTGCAGTTTATTCTCTGTCTAGTTTTCTCTTTGACAAAAAGGAAAAAAATGCAAATACACAAAGACTGCAGATCAGAAATAGTGGTTTCTGAAGCCCACACTATACTCAAAGCTTCATTTGTACAGCAGCACTGCCTTCAAATCAAGCTGATGACAGATGTACCATCTTATTAGCTGTAAGTGGGAATCCACAGGCATCACCAAGCCAAATCTAAAAAAACTGCTGCATTCATGTAAGAAGAGATGTCATAATGTGGGCTGCAGGACCTCTGTTGTTTTTGATCAGAAATATGGAAACAAACCAGCTGGACTACTGTCCAGTATCTAAGTCTGGGCCTGGCAGTTGGGAGCGGAGGGGAGAATATTTTTTCCATTTGAAAGTTGAGCAAATCAGTCACAGAAGAAAGAAAGATACTAAACAGGGAACTCCATGATAGCATTTACTGAAAATTACTTTTTGGGATTGATCTCTCACTTGAATTTGTTTACATTTTGACTCTGAACATCAGACTATCAGTTGTCTTTTCAGCTATTAGAATAAAAACCAGCTACACTGCAGAAAAGGGGCAATTACTGGTGAGAATAGAAACACACTAAAACCCCTTTATATCTATACATTAGGGGATGTAAGAAGATGGGTCTGTAAGGAGATTCTGTTCTCTGACTCTCATCTAATTTATCTGGTGAAACCTCTCTCAGATTAATTGTATTTATTTTACCTTGTATTTCTAAAGGCTCTTAATAATAAAATGTACGTACCCAATTCTTGTATGTATCCAGTCATATTTTGCAATAACTGATATCCACTGGATTTACAGACATAGAGAGAAAAATTGTATCTCACACCAGGCTGAAATAGATCTATGAAAGAACGTTGTCATTGTTAAAAAGGATTTACTTAACAAAAGTTGTACTTTTAACTTTCACGTGCATATTTATGTAAATACATTAAGTAATAGCATCAATAACTTGACCATATGGTATGCATGTATAAATATTTTCCCTATTTTGATCCCTTTAAAAGCTGGGTCACTGTATATAGTTTGGAGTCAGTAAACAATCTGGATCATTCAAAGCAACTTGTAAGCCCTAAACTAATAATGTTCATAAGAAAATCCTGGAAGTGGCACAAACTGCTGTTTACCACTTTAAAACAGAAAACGTCTGTGATGCTACCACAGACACTCACCCCCAAACCTTCCAAAGCTGTCTTCCTCCTCCTCAGATATGCAATGGCCAGCTGACTCCTACTACAGTACTGTGATTCGGAGTTACTACTCTGACAACCAACTCAAACCTTGAACTAAGCTTGATAAGACATATGTCCTTGCTCTCTTTTTAAAACAAGGGGACAAAACTGCAATGTCAAGTGCCCTCAATCATCAGCAAAGGTGCGGGAGGTATTCAGCTACATACTTTGTAGAAACAAACGCGTAGGCCTTGAACCCACATTTAGCTGCACAGAGGCAGGGCCCAGGACTGTGTGGAGTTACAGGGAAGCCAACTTTGATTTGGATAAGTATAGGGGACTGCCTTCAAGAATCTCATTGCAGGACTGAGACCAGAGGTGAATTTGTTAATCTGATACCAGTAGGTATCATCCCACAACACAAGAGAAAGATTCTAGAAATTGGAGTCTAATGTTCAAATACTGAACCATGGATGCCTGCCTAGAATAAGATGCTCTCATTTTGAGAAAGCTACACAGATACAATAATTCAAAAGGTAAGGAGCTCAAATAATCACAGATCTGAAAGTATTCTTTCAGCTGAGTTATCCCTGAACCAATAAAAGCAGAAAAGCTTATTTCAGAAAAAACTTTCCTCTATAAACAAGTCTAAAACACTGACGCTAGAGTGGAACTTTACTTTTAATTTACTGATTTCCTAGCAAAGTCTGTGCCCTCTTTCCTTGTTTATTTCTTTTCTACTCAGTATCTCTACCATTGTTCTCAAAACAGCCAACTTATTTTGATTTCTTAATCTGTTCACCAGCATCTAGATACCTGGAAAGTGCCCTGTTCTACAAGAGCCAATTGTTTATGGCATGCCAACAGATGGATATTGCCCTTTCTTACTCAGTTATAGGAGAATAATGCATTAACCTGATACCCCTCCCTTCATAAATGTCTGGGCAGCCCAGGACTGCACTTAAAACCTGAAGAACATGTCCTCATTTTTAACAATTTTACATCAGGCTGAAGTTTGGGCTTCAGCTACCTTTTCTGCAACTCTAAAACATTCTGCGAGTGCAAAGAAAACAACAGTAATTAAATCCCGATGTAATAGATACCTCAGATCATGACGGAACAGTAAAAAGAAATCTTAGCCTAGAAATAGGGTTTAAAATAAATCTAAGCAGTATCTTTTATCTTTTTTATTGATACTTTTCCTGTTTCATTTGCAGAGACTACACACTATCCAAGCTATGAATTTCATAGTTGGTAGGGTTGGAAGGGACCTGAGCAGATCAAGTCCGACCCCTGCCATGGCAGGAAAGAGTACTGGGGTCAAATGACCCCGGCAAGGTGATTATCTAGCCTTGTCTTAAAGACCCCCAGGGTAGGAGCCAGCACCACTTCGCTTGGAAGTTGGTTCCAGATTCTAGCTGCCCTGGCCATGAAGTAGCGCCTCCTGATGTCTAATCTGAATCTACCCTCTGCCAGCTTGTGACTGCTATTTCTAGTCACTCCTGGGAGTGCTCAGGGGAACAGGGACTCCCCCAATGCCTGCTGGTCCCCCCTGACTAGTTTGTAAACGGCCACTAGATCCCCCCTCAGCCTTCTCTTGCAGAGACTGAACAGGTTCAGGTCCCGTAGCCTCTCCTCCTAGGGCCTGCCCTGCTGCCCTCGATCATGCGAGTGGCCCTCCTC